CCAGTCCTGGCCAGACTGCACTGGCTGCCTGTCCCAGAGAGGATCGATTTCAAGATCCTCAAACCTTGTCTTCAAATCCCTCCACTCCTCTGCACCCCCCGACCTCTCTGCCCTCCTCTCTTCTCACAACAGTACCCGTTGCCTTCGTTCCTCCGGGTCTGGCCTCCTCCTCGTCCCCCGAGTCCTCCGCTCCACCCTCAGCGGCTGTGCCTTCAGCCACTATACCCCGAGGCTCTGGAATTCCCTTCCTCACTCCCTTCGTCTCGCTCCCTCTCTTATTTTCAGGTCTCTGCTGAAGACCTTTCTTTTCGACGGCGCCTTTGGTCACCTTCCTCCCCCTCCCCCGACTACTCCCCCTCCCCCTGACTCCTCCCCCTCCCCGTGGCTCCTCCCCCTCCCCTTGGCTCCTCCCCCTCCCCCTGGCTCAGCGCCAGGATCCGTTACTGTAAAGCGCTCTGAGACGCCATCCGGCGAGGAGGACGCTGTATAATTCCAAGTTGTTGTAAATCCAAGTTGTTATCAGGACACGTGTCCAGAGACGGCCAGCGAGAACATGGAGAATGCTGGCGGGTTTTGAGTCAGTGTCAATTCAGCTCACTTGGTAGCACTCTGACCATGAGAGCACTGCCCTGTAGGATGAGATGTCAGCTAAGATCCAGCACATCTATCTGGTCTTCAGGTGGTCATTAAAGATTCTGTCACATTATAGGGAAAGAAGAAGGAATTTTCTCCCCAATCCTGATCAACAATCCTTCAGATAAATTAACCATTCACTTTATGGCTGTATGTGTGCAAAATGCCTTCACTGCATTTGCCTACAAAAAGAAACGCTTAACAGTCATTGCTTTTGAAGTGCTTTGAGGCATCTTAACGAGCTATAGAAATGCATGTTCTTTCTTGCCTCTACACACAGATGAGCTGAACTCTTGTGTTCCTAACTCATTTCTCATTTCTTTCTTTTTGAAAAGGTTGAGTTCTTTAGCTGGAGCTAATATTCACAACAATACAATCCTCTATACCTAGCCAACAATCCAACAACCCCCAGATAAAATCGTTCATTCACCTCATGGCTGTCTTTGGGAGATTGCTGTATGCAAATTCGTTGATGTATTTGTCTTTTACAAAAATACACAACACAGTAAATCTTATCAAGTGCTTTGAGAAGTTTCAACAAATGTCATATCAAATGTAAGGATTATTATTACTCAGTTTAATCTGTTCGCATTTGAGGCAGATGCTTTTCAAATGCTCAGAAGTAAAAAGCTGTTAACTTTAAGTCGAGTGTTTCCTGCAGCTGAAGGTTGTCTGTGTGGATGAGGGTGGATGTCCTTAGCCTCAGGCATTTGGGTGCAACAACAGGCCTGGCAGGTTTCTGAGCTTCAGAGCAAGACTTAATATTGTTCTAGGAAATTGTCAAGCCCTTTTGGGGACTTTTGAGTCAGAACCTCAGTATATTTCTAAAGGATGTACATCATGATGTGAAAATCTCATTTCTTAGTCTCTTTCATTGCTTAGTACAACTGTTTTTTTTCTTAGAGACAGAGATACAAACCATACCCAAGTGGTCTGGTTATCACATTAGTCACAGCTCCCAGCCCCAAGAAATCTGGTTTATGACTAATAGAAATTGGAGCCATTTTACATGGTAATGTTTTAGTTTTTACTAAAAGGGTTAAAACCCTTGTAATTACCATTGGGGAATGCTTTACTTCCCCCTCAGGTGAGCCTGGTCGCCACAGGTAGGGAGCACCTTTACATCTGGTGTTCTGTTTGTACCATACAGATTCAGATTGTGTCTCATCCCATCCTCACATCCAAACCATTCTCACTGCTCCAGGGGAGCACAGAAAAGCTGGCGGTCTATAAAGCGACAATCTATAAACATTTATAAAAATGTAAATATTTTCTGGAATCCAATATCAAAAGTATCACGTGATCTCTGTCCCCTTCCAAAACACAAACTTTTCTGAATCTATAGACGATGTGGTGTTAGGAGAGTGGAGAACCAAAAGGTGGATAGATATTTGCTAGGCCAGGGTATCAAGGGTATGGGAAGGGCAGATAATTGAAGTTGAGGTACAGATAGACCATGATCTTATAGAACAATGGAACAGGCTCAAGGGGCTGAATGGCCTACTCCTGTTCCTATGTTCCTAAAGTGCCCAGGGTGGGGAGTGGAGGAGCACAAATCTTTGTCTTCTACATTGAATAAACCATCAACGTGGCCCTTGACACAGGATCAATAGAATAATTCAAAAAAGGGAACCAGATAGGGACCTGAGCAGTCAGAATACTAAGGGATGCGAGGAGGGATCTGGGGAGCAGGAGAAGTACAGAAGGTCATTTTTTTAAAAAAACAGAGGAAGAGAGAGGTAGCCAAGGCACGGACCCTGAAGAGAGTCGCCTCTCGTGCTGAAAGTTTTCATGTATTTTTGCATGTCAGCCATTTGTTTTTGCAGAGAGCTCAGTGTATAATATTTGCCGTATAAACTATTGAACTTTTGAAGCAACAATGTAGAACAGCTGTTAGAGCAGTAAACGGGGTTGGGGCGGTGGGGGGGGGTGGGAAGGGAGGAACGCTTTCATTGTTGAGCTATTAACCGTGTTCCTTGGAGTGGATCTGTCTGCAAGAGCTGAACTTTTCACCTGTTGCTAATAATATTTTTTTCCTGACTGATTTCGTGGAGATGAAATGTTAGTGTTCTAAAGCATCTCCTGCCAGCCTGGTGTTTGTAGTGACTGACGGCTAGTTTCCACTCAGCCCAGGCACACTGCAATCAGCACCAAATATCCGAGGCTGGCAGTTTATTGGCCTTCTGCCTGCTCTTGAACAGGCTGCAGGAAGCAATATTGCCATGGAACCTAGTGTTGCTTTTACGCTGCTGGTTTGTGACCGGAGGTGACTTGGTCGTATGAGAGGAGGGGTGTTTGGGACTAATCCAGTGCTCTGACCCTATGCTCCATCCACTCTCTGACATCCAGTGATTGGTGCTGCTCTGCACCTCCAGACTCCAGAGCAAAAGTGTAGCAAAGACATTATACTTCCACCTGGATTAACAATAGACTGAAAGTTAGTTATTTCAAACCTTAAAAGAATGGAATTCATCCCATCATGTCTGCGCTGCTCTATCAAAGAGTAATTCATTCAGTCTCCTTTACTTGCCTTTGCTGTGAAACCCCTGAAAATGACTCCTTTTTAGATATCTAACCAGGTCCCTCTTGAAATCTAATATGGATCCTACCTCAACCACTGCATCCAGCAACACATTCCACATGTGGGGTGAAAAAACTCCCAATCTCTCCCTTTAATCCCTTTCCAGCTATCTTAAATTGATGTCCTTTCGTCACGGATTCACAACTAGTTGAAATAATTTCTCCCTGTCGACTCTATGATCTCCCCCTCACTATTTTGAGGTCCTCAATCATATCTACCTTCAGCCTCATTTGTTCCAAGCCCTCTGGGAAGTGAAGGGCACTACATAAATGCAAGATGCTGTTATAGTTCCAGTGAAAATAGCCCCAGTTTCAGCAGTATCTGCTCATGGGTTAAACGACTCATCCCGAATCCAAATGAGACAGGTTAGTTTTACCATACTGGTGATGTGTTGCCTAACACTAGTTACTGGTATAAATTACTTCTATTTCAAATATTTGCGGTTTACCAACAAAAATGGCGAATCATAATGAGCAGTTCTCAAAATTCAAATAACCTGCAGCTGTGCCAATGCTGAGTGCAGGGTTGCAGCAGGATATAATGCTAAATTCTCAGATTGTCCTGGATTCTCGTCAGCAACAGTGATTATGTCACATTTCCGTTTGCTTGAAATCAATCACGTACGTAAGCAGATTGGTGACAGCTCGGCAAGCACATAGCTGGTGCATTTAAGAGCATGAAACTAGTCTGACTGCTCTGGTGCCGTGCACCTGTACACTGGTGTATGGATGTGTGAGTTGTAGACGGAGAGAGGAATCCTGTTCTAAGCAGCAAAAATTCAACAGCCACATGTGCACATACTTGGGCATTATTTTACCCAGGGGGGAGCTGAATATTTTCCTCCGTGATGGAGCCAGAAGAATAAGGAGCTCCCAAGAATTTCAGATTCTCCCAAACTCACCAAACATTTGTTTACTAAGGTGTGTTCTTGTCGTGCCTGTCACGATCCAGTGGGACATTTTTAGCCATGGTCTCAGCCTGACTCAGTCTGTCAAGCTCTATTCTCTGGGTTTGAAAGTTATGGATTCAAACCTCCTGTCAGGGATGGAGCTCACAGTCCAGGCTAAAATCCAGACTCAGTACTGGGGGGAATGCTGCTTTGTCATAAGTGCCAATCTTCGAATAAAGGAAGTGTGTGGCCAATTTTATCTGGGTAATCGTTGGCCAGGCCACCTAGAGAAACTCCCTTCTCTATTCAAATGGTGCTGGGATCATTTAGGGCCACCTGAACAGGCAGACAAGACCTCAGTTTAATATCTCATCGGAAGGACCACACCTTCAATGCAGAGCTCCCCCCAACACTACACTGGAGTGTCAGCAATTCTGACATGTTCTTAAATTTTAACATGAAATGGGTTGACAGGCTAAAACCAGGTGAAATTTCTGGCCTGTGAGTGGATTGATGGTGCAGGTCGTCGATTGCCACGTGGTGGGTTACGAAGCAACTTGCTGACGAGTCAAAGGGCGATCCGAAGAGTGGTGGATCTCTTTGTGCCCTAGCTGTGAACCATTCTCTGTGATACAGCTATAACTGGCTGGCCTGTAAGTGCTGTAAAGCACTTTGAGATGATCCAATGCAATAAGGCACTGTAGAATAGGACGTCTCAGTGGCAGGGTTGAGATTCATGAGCGCTTAGAGACTGGGTTTATTGGTTACTTCTGATATGGCTCAGTGGCCCACACGGGACACTACCCTGCATGAGGGGCACTAAATAAATGTAAGTTATTGTGGTTGTTGCTTCACTTGTTGACACTATAAAGTTTTGTCTCTGTTATTCTCCTGCAGTTCGCTGGCACATTATCAGATGGGCTGGGAAAGACAATGGACACCAGGCACCAAGCTGAGCGAGAGTCCATCCGCTATCAGGCAGTGACTAGTGGTGAGCACCTGGTGGCTGGGATTCAGGGCCTTGCTCATGGTGAGTACAACAACAACTACTACTCGCATTTGTATAGTAATAATAATGTGGTCACTCAATCCACGACTGTTTGCTGTGCGCAACTGGCTGCTGGGTTTCGCCCACAAAACACACAGTCACTCCACTTTACAGTATATCCTGTGAAGCACTTTGAGACATCTCGATACGGTGTTATATTAAATGCAAGTATTATTATATAGCGCCCTTCACACAGGGTAGCATCCGGGAACACTTCACCATAGTGGAGTCTTGACAATGAGCCAGGGGGAGACGGAGGGGGAGGAGGTGACTGTAAGCACGATATAAAAGGAAGGTGGGATTTGAAGGTGGGCGGGAGGGAGGGGCAAGGTGGAGGGATTGAGTGAGAGAGTTCCAGAGTTTCGGGGCGTAAGTGATTACAGGAGGGTAGAATCCTATTTTGTTTGCCTCAGTGAGGGTTGGGGCGGAGGGGGATTCTGGATTGCACCCAGTGAAAGCTATAGTGGGAAAGATATCTGCCATTTTTCTTCTCTATCACACCCTAGAGATCGTTCTATCGTTCTGTATGTGGGAATGGCATATTGTTTGATGGTGGAGGCATCACATCCAGGTTGGGGGTTGGTGGGGAGAGGAGGTGTTGGAGGGCAATTAGAAGCTGGAGCCCTGGCTGATGTGTTTTTCGCCCTCCCTAGCCCATGGGCGTTGAGGCCAGTTTTATGTGCACCGGCAGAATGGGCTGAATTTATCTCCTGTGTATTAAAACACTACGATGCCACCGACCCAACTGAGTTTAGCCAACGCAGCACAGACTGCGATTGGCCTTCTTATCTGTATGGCCTAGAATGGCAGGGAGATTTTTTTTATTCCAGACCTCACAAGCTACTCATTAACTGACGAGTTCCCTCCCTTGCTATTTTGTGCCCTCACTCGCTAGGTATTCTTGGCGGCTTTACCAGCGTCATCACCTCGACAGTGGAAGGCGTGAAAACAGATGGCGGTGTCGGAGGCTTTTTCTCGGGCCTCGGAAAGGGATTGGTCGGCACGGTGACCAAACCTGTGGCCGGTGCGCTGGACTTTGCTTCAGAGACCGCTCAAGCCGTACGGGAAACGACGACCATGAGCAACCTGAGGTAAGCTCAAATTCATCCCAAAACTGCAATGATGAAGTCTTCAGACATGTCTCTCTGGTGTTCTCCCAACATCTTTTTGTCTTGCACTTTCTCTCCTCGCCTCTCCTCATCTCCAAAACCTTCTTAGAAATGTATCACTTTGCGTGTCATGCCTTGGGTCAACACCCTCAAACTTACCCCTTCTTTCCTTCCTTGCACAATGATACTATTGTTGTGGTGAATCGCTTTGAAATGTAAATCTTCTGTGAAATATGCTGAATAAGCAAGTTATGTTGGTGCAAGCAAAAGAAACTAGATTAACAGCTGCATTAGAATTTTAGTAAATGTGCAGTCCCATCAGCCCTTATTAGGTACTTCAATCTGAACTGAAGATGATTTGGCAAAGGAGCAGAGATGTTCGTAGAGTGATTGAAGGTATCTGAGCTATATCAGGATACTCCTAATAATACTGATCTTTGTATTTGATACAGCGCCTTTCGCATCAGGAGAACTTCTCAAAGCGCTTCACAGGTTTCATTGTAAATGAACGTAGCTGAATCTGATTTGTTGTGGAGTCCTGGAGGGTATTGGTTAGAGCATTCGCCTCGCAAGCGAGAGGACCTGGGTTCGATTCCCGGACAGGGTGAAAAGTTAAGCAACACGCCTCTGCTTACCTAGTAGTAAGTAGTTGTTACTTACTAGTTGTTAGTCGATTGGCGGATCGCTTTTCCAGTAATAATACTTTCAAAATAATTATTTGATTACTCTATTCACCACTATTTGTGGGACACTGCTGTGTGCAATTGGCTGCCGAGTTTTGCCCACAAATATACAGTCAATTCACTTTACAGTATATTCTGTGAAGCGCTTTGAGACATCTAGAAGACGTGAAAAGCGCTATATCAAATGCAAGAATTATTATTATATTGTGGGTTACACAGTGAACCATAGAATCATATATTCATAGATGTATACAACACAGAAGGAGGCCATTCGGCCCATTGTGTCATTGAAAAGAGCTACTCAAATCAATCCCACTCCCCTACTCTCTCCCCATAGCCCTGCAGACTTGTCCTTCCCAAACAATTATCTACTTCTCTCTTAAAAGTTGTTATCGAATGGCTTCCACCAGCCTTTTAGGCAAAGCATTCCAGATCCCAACAACTCGCTGTGTGAGTGGTGTTAAGATGCAGTGAGGCTGTGATCTCCACTACTACAACGTGTGCTGCTTCACTGCAGTTAAAGAACAATCCATCACTCCTGTTCCAATCGTGGTACAATCACAGAAGCATATTGTCCATCTTTTCCTACCATTGTACCTGATGCATTATACCCGGCCATAAAATCTGAACAGTCTAAAGAATAAAAACATAATACTCTACATCTCTGAGCTGAGATGACCTTGATAAAATACTTAGTGTTTGTTCACATGGTTTGTGCCATGTGAATTGTTCAATGGGTTTGGGTTCAGATAGTTATAAGAAAGAGAGAACTGTAATTTGTATCGCCCTTTGACACTGATGTCTGAAAAGGCTTTACAATATTTATTCTCAAGTGTTAGAGATTTTTTAAAAAAACTTATTTTTTCCTGCAACCTCCATTGTTCTGCATAGAATAAAATTGATGCAGCACCTGTACAGAACTGCAGACCTGCCCACGTTCAGCCATGCCTCCGGTAATAATAATAATTTGATCCCTCAATCAATGACTGTTTGTGGGACGCTGCTGTGCCCAATTGGCTGCTGCGTTTCGCCCACAAAGGATACAGTTAATTCACTTTACAGTATATACTTTGAAGCGCTTTAAGAAGCCTCGAAGAGATGATAAGGCACTGTATCAAATGTGAGGATTATTATAACATCTAAATGTCTCATTCGCTTCATAGTTAATTGCTGTCAAGTGTAGTGACTATTTTTGTAGATAAAAATAGCTGCTAATTTGCCCAAACCAAAGAGAGGTGCCACAGAGGGCAATGTAGCAAATGACCATGTTATCTTTGAGGATTGTTCATCAGGACAAAGGAAAAGTTATCTTCTAATAGTGTCATGGGATCTTTCAGCGTCCATCAAACCAGGCTAATTGGACCTTGGTTTAAAGTCTCAACCAAAGGTGACACCTCCAACAATGCAGCTCTTACCCCTACCCCCCACTATTGCACTGATGTGTCAGCCTGGACTGTAAGTTCCATTCATGGGTCTTAAATACACAACCTTCCAACCCTATTGTGTAATATGTTGTTGCAGATGGTATTATATTGCTTTTATTAGTTAAGGTTATCGAGCCACACAAATAGCTATGCCATGGTAAAAGATTCCTAACACAATGGCAAGTATAGCGGTCCGGGTACCCTTTTCTTCAGAGTAAGTCACACACAGCTCATGTGGTCTTTATCTCCACTTGAGCCATTGTACCTAATCTCACTCTTCTGCTTACCCCCACATCCTCCATTATTTTTCCTCCTTAAGCACCAAATTCCTTTCCAAACAATGGACAGGTACAGTTTGTGGCAGTGTATTCACATTCCAATCACTCTCTCCGTAAATACATTTTTCTAAACACCCTTTCATATGTTTTGTGATTGTTAAAATCAGGCTTCTCAGTACTGACTCATCAACGGTGGAAATAATCTGTTACTATTTGCTCTTTGAAAGGCTCTGTGACATTCCTGCTTAACCTCGGCAACAGGCCAACCCTGATAAAACGTAGCTTTAATAATAATAATAATAATCCTTGCATTTGATATAGCGCTTTTCATGTCAGGAGGACATCCCAAAGCGCTTCACAGAACACACAAGTGAGTGACCTGAGTTCAATTCCAGGCAGAGGGCGAAACCTTATTCCACACAGAGCCTAATAATAATCCCTCCAAAACAACAAAAACAATAATAAATTGGTCATTTTCAATCTACGACTGTTTGTGGGACATTGCTGTGCGTCCTCCCGACGTGAAAAGCGCTATATCAAATGCAAGGATTATTATTATTAGCTTTTGGAAACGTAAACCGAGACCCCGGGTTAAAATGAAGCATAAAATGGCCACGTACTGCTGAAGTGACATCAGTGGCACTTCCTGTGTATCGTACACATGTGCTCACCACATAGGAAGTAACATCAGCAGTGCCCTGACAGCCCAGGAACCAGACATTTTTTAGCACAGTAAGTTCTCTTGTGAACTCCGAAACCGGGTGTGCCACTTTACAGTGCCGGGATTGTCCCGAGGCCGACAACAACTGGGTTGACCAGTATTGAAAAAAAAGGTCTCGCATCATAACCTGTCGTCCCTCATGGCACCTGAGTCAATCTACACTACATCTCTTTTTATTATTTTAACATCCACCCTAATGGATGCCCAAAGCTGCAAAGACTACAATGGTCCAATTAGACCTGGTGTTGAGTACACAAGCTGGTTTTGGACAATTTGCCTGACACACCGTGCTCACATGCAGAGTCTTGGAGTCCACATGAAATAAGCCATACACAGCCATCAGGTTTCCAGGTCCTGTCCAATGAAAAGGTTTATTCTCACAATCCTTTATTCTGTGATCTCCACTCCTCAGATAATGGGACCAGAGGCTGGTGAACTAGCCTAAAAATCAGACCACTCTGCATTTCTACAGCCATCAGATGCAGTGCTTTTCAGCTACTGCACCCGAAACTCTGGAACGCTCCCTCAATCCCTCCGCCTTGCCCCCTCTCCCCTTTTTCAAGTCCCGCCTGGAAAACGTCCTCTTCGATTGTGCTTAGGGTAACCTCCCCCCACACCACCACCCCCGGCTCAGAATCAGGCTCCACCACTGTTAAGCAATCTGATATGCTACCCTTCATGGAGGGCGCTATATAAGTACAAGTTTTTGTTGTTGTTGGTTAGCGTGCGATGTCACAAAAACATCCGTTTACTTGTCGCTGGACCAACCCGCTCTGACTCCGCAACTTAATAATAATAATCCTTGCATTTGATATAGCGCTTTTCACGTCGGGAAGACGTCCCAAAGCGCTTCACAGAACACACTGTAAAGTGAATTGACTGTATATTTGTGGGCGAACGCGGGGGCCAATTACGCACAGAATGTCCCACAAACAGTCGTAGATTGAAAATGACCAATTTATTATTGTTTTTGGTTTTGGAGGGATTATTATTAGGCTCTGTGTGGAGTAAGGAAACTTGCCCAAGGTTTCGCCCTCTGCCGGGAATTGAACTCAGGTCTCTCGCTTGTAAAGCGAGTGTTCTAACCACTGAGCTACAGGACTCCACAACTTTTCACAATTGACCATATGGTGGTAACGGGACTCCAACATGGAATCGGTCTTGAGAGATTTGGGACTGAATAAACCAGCCGTTTTTACAACCTTATTGCCTCTGGAGGCAACCTGGTAGTGTCAAATTAGCTGCCTTCTGATCGCTTTGAAGTCCTCTCCATCATTTACATCCGTGCTTGAAAGGAAAACCTAAGGGATTTGTACTGTATAGAAATGAGAGTTAATTAGCATCATTTGGGTTTGTTGTGGCTGTAAATTCTAAGCCCTCACCCATCAGGAAAGGAGAAAAAAACTGTTTGGGTCTGTGCTGACTAACGCTGCACATGGTAAATCTTGCATCTTTTTTTAAAGCTGCCCCTCCCTCACCTCCAAGGCCCACTTTATTGTAGGTTATCCACTGATTTGGTGACTGAGGTTTGTTTTCTGTATAGCCTTCCAAGTTTTATTGAGTGTGGCTGTGCTCAAACAAGTCTGCCAACACTCGCTTAATAGCAGACAGCAAATCTGGCGAAGTGTGACTGAGTTCCAGCAAGTCGGTAGATTGTGAAGTGGCCTTCATGCATTATTTTAACAGGATGCTTCAAAGCCAACCGCATACAAGGGTTGAAACAGGAAGCTTTAATTGCAAGCAGAATGATAGATGACTCTAGTGTGTTTTAAAAGGGAGAACCAGATTTTCCACAACTGTTTACTGCAGGGATTGTATGCCATGTTACCACCTTCATCTGGTGGTGCTTTGATTTAACTTTGTCCCTCTTGGCTCG